CTCGAGCGGGCCCCTGAGGTAACAGGAGCTCCCAGAGCACACTCCCGGGGTCCGGCTGCCCCTACCCAGCTTTGCCTTCTGCTCCTGGCACCGCTCCACGAGCTTCCGGAGCTCCTGGTACTTGTCCGAGAGGTTAGAGCGGCTGATCTCTAGGGGACCTTGGAACTCCAGGTTCTGCTCAGCCAGGCTCCGGTTGGTGGCCAGTGCCATCTCCCGCTCCAGCTGCAGGTCCTGGACCTAAAAGAACAGGACACTTGACCATCGGCATCGCCACCATCCCTCAGCTCGTGGCAGCCTGGACCAGGGGCTTCTGGGACTCATCGCCCACCATGGGGAACCACAATACTCAGCCCTCAGATAGAGTCAGATGGACCTGGGTTCTAACGCTGAACAAGCACTGACTCAGGCACCTCACCGAATCCTGAATCCAACAGCCTATGTGGTGGATTCACGTGGGAAACTGACACTGGAAGGCGACAGCTTGCCCAAGGCCATGCGAGAGCAGGAGCCAGGCCCACCATGGGCTGTGCAGAGCAGAGGAGGGGGGACCAAGCTATACAAGACAGCGCCAGCTTTCTAGGAGGGAAGGGACCAGAAGCCTCAACCACTTACCCATAGGATTCAGAGTCAAGAGACCTGCTCTGAGGACTAAGGTGGCCTAGGCCAGGCCACAAGCCAGACGTGCAAAGAGGCTACAAAGACAGCTTCTCCGAGAGGTGAGAAAGTCATGGCCAGACTGACACTGATTCAGACCTGTCCCCGCCTCCTAGGCCACGTGTGTCCTGCAGAGAAGCTGTGTGGATGAATGAACAGAGCGCCCCTAAGAACTATGGGAGGAGTCCCACAGCTGGCAGAGGACTCCCACCAACACAGGCGACCTGCGGCCACCTGAGGCCCTAATGCCAACCTCTGCACCTCTACGTGCCCCCCGAAAGCACATCCCCAAGCTGAGCAGCGCTGTGCCCTCAGCCAGGTCTTTCGTTGCCACCAGCTGGTGAGGTGGCAGCCATGGGAACCCTTCCCAGAGCTGCTATGAACTGAAGCCCTGTCCATCTGCCAGGGAGTCATCTTTATGGAGATGACCCGCCACGCCTGAGACAGCAGTGACAATACACCTACAGCACCATGTGGCACCAGGAGAGGACTCAGCACCCAGTGGAGGGCTCAGGGCACAGCTAGGCAAGACCAGCTGCCACACGGGAGCCACTGGGCAGCTTTGCCACAGTCAGCACATGATGAACCGAGCCTTAACGGCTTGTTCCTCAACGGATGCGAGAGGCCATAGGCATCCTGGAAGAGGGGACTTCAGGGAGGACGCCCTCCTGCCAACCTCCAATCACAGGGTCTTGCGACCTGCGCTCTGGGGCAGGCCTGGAGCCTGTCCTTCACGCTCTGGACTGGAAAGAGGGGGTCACAGTTATCTTCCCTCCAAGGATGCGGCCGCCGGGGCACTGGGAGGGTGGGGCCCACCATGGTCTCTTGGAGTCTGGTCTGCCCACGAGGGCAAGTGCCCCACAGCTAGGTGGTCTGGTTTGCTGCCACAAATACCATCTCGAGCCACTCAGCAAGCACACTGACTCGGGGACACTGACACTGGGAAGTTTCAATCTCATTTTTATTAGCCGCGAAGCTTTCTTTATTTACGTATGTGGCTGACACAGAGAGGGAAGACTGAAGCCCTCTCGCTCAGCTGTCCTCGGGCCCTCATGTGCATCCACTGCCTTTTCTCTGGGTCTTAACTAATAAATCTTTGCTGTATCGTTTTCCCCTAAATCTTGTCCTATCAATTCTGTCCCTTCTCCCCACAGCCTCCCCGGATCTTTCTCCACTGGGGTTAACTATGAAGCCCCCCACCAGTCATTTATAAGGGGTCAACAAAAACAGTTCTAGTACCCTGCCCCAAAGGGCTCACCCCACGAGTCACGCTCTTCTACGCAGAGCTGTTCCCTACTAATCCCTGTTCGCCGGGCAACGTTCCTACCTAAAATCAAACGAGCTCTCATTTCTCTCCTCACAGTCTTACAGCGACTCAATTATCATTTGATGGCCCCCTGTAGAAAATCTAGTCCGAGGGGCTTTGAAAGTCTACGTAGTCCACCCTCCTTCGTTCCCTGAGATCCCACGAGCGTTTTCCCCCGAGAATTCAAATCAATTAGCCAGACGAGGTTGCGTGTCACAAAACTCAAGTTGCCGTTTGCCCGAGAGGGGTTTCTGCTTACATTTTCCACAGATTCTGGGCACCCTGCCACAGATCCTATCGGCCTGCCGCGCCTGGATGTCGACTAATTCTAATTCTGTAAAGGCTTCCTTCTACGAAGCGTGTGCTTTAAAGCACTGTGCTCATGGCAGATTTTAAGAAACACTTGCTTACTGTGCGACTGACGGAGAATGGCACGTGGCGGCGGGGAGATCTGCGCCGTGCCCAGCTCTGCGCCAGCGCAGACGCGGCCCTGGCAGAGCTCACGGCCTCATGAACCACCTGAGGCGGCCTCGGCATTTCACCAACACGAGCCTTGTTTCACGTCCCCGCTGAACGAGCTCAGGGCGGGCAGGGAGTGCCACGCCGAGTCCCTGTACCTCTCCCCATCCCCTGCCTGACACGTCGTCCCCTGCGGCCCCAGCAAAGCTTGCCCATGTGGGTAGAGGACCCGTGGGAGTTGGGGGCAGTGAAGGCACAACACAGCGAGGAGCTTCCCCCTCACAGGGAGGAAACCGCCCTGGGGAGGCGGCAGCACGGAGAAGCTGGATGGGGTGGCTCCCTTTCTTTGGTGAACATATCGGGAACTCACAGAAGAGATACATCACACCTGTGCATCGGTCAAAAGAAAAAAACATCCAAATGCCAGTCAAATGAGCCTGGCAGATCTGCGTTTGTTTCTCCCTAACGTTAGGAGCGGCAGGCGGCAGCCTGCAGAGCTGTGGACAGGCTGCAGCCACCCCAGGCACAACTGCATAGCTGCAGCTCTGTGGCCACATCCAGTCACGGGGTACCGGAGACGGGGAGGACAGGAAAGGCCTTTATTAAGGTGTCAGGCTCTGTACAGAAGGCTCTTTTTATTCCCATGAGGACTGTGATTGGAGGCTGAGAGGGTCAGTTGCCAGCTATGACAGGAAACAGGATCAAAGAGGAGCTGAGCCCAACCCCAGCCCGAGAATGGCTCCTCCTGGAGAAGCAGGGCCACGAGGCCCCTGGGGAAAGAAAGGCAGCTACAAAACAGTACCATGCTTTTAGCAACTGCCTCCAGATTCAGGCTGGAAGAACAGTGCGGGACTCCTGGGGCACGTGGGTTCACTGAGGGCTCTGGACCCCCGAGCACTGCCCCCTACACCTCCGGGGTGCCCAGGAACTGGGCTGACACGTCAGGGGTGGCTCTGGCTGGGAGAAAGCCACAGAAAAGGAAGATGAACTTGGCCCAAATTCCCAATAAGCCAGCATCCTTAAGAAGGGCCGCGGTCCCATCTGCTGGCCTTTCTTGGGCCCAGTGACTGTCTCCCTCTACCTCGGGGGACTCCTGGGCCAGCCGGTCAATGGCCTCCGGGTCATTCTGCATCTCCTCCAGCTCCTCCAGAGTCTTCTCTTTCAGGGTCTCCATCCTTCCCTGGGAACACATAACAACACCGACATGAGGAAAAGAGGCAGCTCGTGGGGAAGAGACCGTGAGCCCATACACATGATCTGTCAAAGAAAAAGAGTTTTCCAAGGTGCTCCCACTCCACGGGGAGGCTCAAGGAAGGGTGAGGGTCCCAGGAAGTGTATTCCTGCCACCCCAGCCACCGCCTCTCCCCAGGGAGACCAAGGAGCCACTCCTTCCAGCCAAACCATGAACAGCAGGATGTGTGCAAGCACTCGGCAGCCAGAGGGAAAATGCTGATGCAGCTCCACGAAGAGCAGATGGAAGAGGCAGGAGTGAGCCAGGCAGCCAGGGACAGAGATGAAGCTGGCCCGAGGAGGCCCGCGGGCCCCGGCGCCAGCACGCCCGCTGGTAGGTGTCTATTTCCGTCCGAACCAGAAATACACCCAACCTTCACACGCAGGGGCCTTGCGGCTTCAACATCACAGGCACGAGTGCGTCGCTGCTTGTTATATTTAGGACACCAACAACCTTGGGCCCCCTCAGGTGTTCTCTGCGACTGTAGTCCTTGCCACATGCCACAAAAATGGACTGTCACAGTCACATCCTCCTCATCACCACAATGGAAAAAAATCACCAAACTGGCCTCTAAGGCAATCGGGAGACAGAGAAATGGACCGAGTGGAAGAGAACGTCTGCTCTGCCGAAGCGCCGGTTTCAGCAGTCTTTCCGTCTGTCATTCTGCCCAGAGGGACACTGGGAGATGGTCTGTGTAACAAGGGGTCCCATCCAGGCCCTAGGGACCGAGAAGCAGCACAAACACTGAAACACACCCAGTACTGGCTTCCTTTCTGCTGACGAGATCCTCTGTTTTTTTTTTTATCTTTCCTAGATATGTGCTTTATAGGCTTAATGCTGGTTTTTCTCATTATAAAGATTATGTTGGTTTTCTAAAGATTCCAACGCTACAGGGTATCTGGAGTCCATGCACCCCCACACCCTGCACCAGCACCCCAGGGAATCAGTGCTGATTACTCGGCCAAAGGGATGTTCTGAAATCAAGGACCAAGGTCAGACTCAGAAGCAACCTTCTCTGGGCCTCAGTTTCCCCATCCGTCATAGAAAGGGAGAGGCGTTTCCTAGGGTCATCGGAAAAGTGGAAAGAGAGACTAATAAATACTGACCATGCTCCCCCATTTACCAAGAAAGTCCTGCTTTACTCCTCAGGTCCCAGCATAGCTCATGAACAGTGTCCCTTTTTATGCTCCAGAGTGCCCCGGTTTGGACAACGAATTACAGGCATACCTCAGAGATCCTGTGGGTTTGGTTCCAGCCCACTGAAAAAAAAATGAGTGTCGCAACAAAGCAGAAGGTAATCTTTTTCCTGGTGGCGGGTTTTGCCTCCAGTTTGTAAAAAACGCGACACCTGTGCAACACAACAAAGCAAAGGGCATACAGCGAGGTATGCCAGTAAAGGGGCACCCCGTGATAAAAGCTATCCACACACGGTCCCACCACTGCCTGCTAATCCCCGAGGGCTGAATGGAGCCCCTGACTCGCAGGGCAGGCATGCCGAGCTTCTGGCATGCACCTGAATCCCAGGAGACACTCCCTGAGAATGTAGGTGGCCCAGCCCCACCTGCAGAGCTGTGTCAGTAAGCCAAGGCGGGCCGGAAACCCACTCTCTCCAGGAGATGCTGATGCAGCAGACTCAGAAAAGGCAACAGTTCCTCGCCAGTCATGTGACAGTGAGGGCACCAGTTACCGAGCACAGCAGCACGAGTTTCACAGGACTGTCCGTCCTCATCCTGCGAGGTGGCAACAACGGTCCCATTCAAAACTGTACTCTGTCCACACCTCGCCCTGCTGCCCCAGGGGACAGGGGAGCGGCAGACGCACCGACCCCGGGAAGCGGCAGAACCAGCGCACTGAACACGGAGGGCTCTGCCATGAGCAGGACAAGCGCAGCGACCTCGCTGCCCCAGGGGACAGGGGAGCGGCAGACGCACCGGGAAGCAGCAGAACCCCGCGCCAGCGCACTGAACACGGCAGGCTCCGCCGTGAGCAGGACAAGCGCAGCGACCTTCTGAGGGTCTGACACACGCCAGGGGCACGGGCTCAGTCAGACACACCTAGTCTGAGTCCCGGGCCGCCACCTACCAGCTGCGGGACCTCGCCTACGTGGACACTCCCTGAGCCTCGGGTTCTTCGTCCCTAAGGTGGGCTGGTACGAGGTTCCATGATAGCGTGCAGAGCACGGGACGGGCGTGGTACGAGGCCTGGCCCGGAGCAAATGCTGGTCAAAGACTCCAGCACCGCGGAACTTATTTATTCCTGGGGCCTCCACGACGGCCGGCTGAGAACTTGCTGGGCTCAGTGGCAGCAGTGCCCCCCGCCCCACTCCCCGCAAGGAGGAACCTGCCACACACAGAACAGGGTGTCCGCTCAGACTGCAGGCAGGCTGAGCACAGACATACCCCGGGCAGAGAATGGAAGATGCCGTGTGGGCAGCTGGCCAGCCGCACGCACACAGCATGCTTAGCAATGGCATCGGCAGTGGCCCTGCAGGTCCAGGCACACGCTCACACCTCGGGACGTTAGCACGCACCCACCTTGAGCACAGCCGCCACTCCCCAGGACGGGCACCGACTCTCCGCCTCAGCCACTTGTGACGGGAGGTGTCACGCTCCATGCCCGTGTCCGACAAATATTACACCTAAGGCAGCACAGCCTCGGGCAGCAGAGTGGACACTTTTTGGTCTTAGGACACCTTTCACTCCTAACCGAAGAGCCCAAAGAATTTTCATTTATGTGGATTTTGGCTATCAACGTTTACTGCATTCAAAATTGAAAGTGAGGAGTTTTCAAAACACAAGAGTTCACGAGCACACACACTGACTGCCAGAATGATGATGTGATCACAGGCTACGTACCCTCTGAAAACACCACTGTGTACTCAAGTGAGAAAGTAAAAAGGAAAATAATGTCCTAGATTATGAAAATTATTCTGACCTCATGGACCGCCCGAAAGGGTCTCGGAGACTCCTAGGGGTCCCTGGAACACACTTTGAGAACCACTCAGGAGACTAAACTCCAGAGCAAGACTGCGTTTGAAGCCCCTCTGCCACTTACCAGCCTGTTGTTTAACCCTGTGTGCCCTGGTTTCTCACATCAGAACAGCCTGCCTGTAACAGTCGGCACTGCGTATGTGCCGTCACCAGGACCCTCACAACCACCTTGTAGTCAGCATCGCTTTGACCCGACCTCAGAAGAGGCCGAGAGGGAAGTGACCTGCTCCAAGGTCATACAGCTAGGAAGCAGCCATGACCTCGGCAGTGTGTATGGCGGGTAGGAAGGGGGTTCTCAGCAGGTGCATCGGATTCACCTGGAGTCCTTGTAGAAAGCCAGAGTCCTAAGTCCCCCTCCAGACCCAGCACTTCAGAACCTCCAGCCTTCTTAATTTTTAATGAAGTTGTCTAGGGTCCTACTTTTCCCTCCTCCAGAACTAAGGGAACTCAGGTGGGTGCGGCCTCATCTGACAGAGGAAAAGCAAAGACTCAGAAGAGGGATCTGTCAACCAGTCCCTGTGGCAGCAGGACGGGAGTGCAGGGGCTCAACCCCGTGTTGTTCTGAGTGCGTCTCTGCCGGGACCCAGAGTGCACGTCCCTTCAGTGCCTGTGGCTTGGCTCATGGCGGTGGGACCGGGCAAGGCACTGGGAGCTCACCTGAAAGGAGGCACTGATGTCAGACCCACCTACAGCCACCCGGGAGGACTGGCTTCCCTGACAGGCTTGCCCTCACGGGCCACTTCTTCTTTTCCCCCAGAAAAGGAACACGTTTTAATTACAGGAATGTCACCAAAACAAAATCTATTTACAACATTCAAGTAGTTTACAACGTTCTGAATTGTTTTCCTCTGGGGCTGATGAAAGGGTATTACTGATACCTCTGTGGATCTAGTGTGCACGTCCATGCTTCTTGAACTTGTAGTGAACATGGCATTCGATGGATGAGTCCATCAAAGCAAAGGTGCCAAGCCCACTACCCACGGGCCTGAAAGTTCCAGGTCACCAGGTGGCCCAAAGAGGGGCCTGATGTGGCTAAAACCTGTGCGAGGCTGTCGCTGCTGCTCTCACAAGGGACAGGGAAGGCAGCAGCAGCACCAAGGATGCATACAACCTGCATTCAAAGTTTGGTGATGTGACCATAGATATTTAGCCAGAAACTTTCCTGTGTTAAATAAAGAATGGTGGCCAATCAGAAAAGTGAGCACCCCAGATAATTCTGGGGGGTGCTGAAGTATGAAGTCCACTGAACCATTACGCACGGCCCCCTTAGATCCAGTCCCCTCCACCCATCCCAAATGATAATCTTCCTCTGAATCTAACACCTCGCACCTGGCTCTGTGTGACTGCCTTGAATTTCCGGTGGCAAAAATCCCTGTAACTTTTACTTGCTGATCCGAAGAATCATGTTGCATTTTAGACAGCAAGAATTCTCCCCAAAGTGGGCAATGAATGAATGAAACACATGGGTCTCCTAATTAGACCACCCTCTGCCTGGCATCAAGCCACCAGGACGTGGCCCATCGCTGAGGAAGAGGGTGCCGTTCCGTGTGGCGAGCCTTCCAGAACCCGGGAGACGAACGGGACAGGAGGAGGCTCGAGCTCCTGCCTGTGACGACTATCTCTGGCACTCCCTGAGAAATATGGGAAAGATGATCACTCCCAAATTCAGAAGAAGAAAAAAAAACAGCTCAGCCCTGTGGCCCTAAAACAGGCTCTCTCCTGGGTCACTCCCCTCTCGCTGCAGACTTCACTGGAGGCCACGTCCATTTCACACACCTCAAGACTGCAGGTTCAAAACACCTCCATTTCAGACAGGTCCGCGCCATCAGAACGACGTCTCGCGGTCCGACCTGCATATTCTGCTGTCCTTGACACCATCGGGAACGGGCCTCTTTCCACGCGGCAGGTTCTCAGTTGAGATGTAATTGGCCACAGTGGGATGTGGGTTTATTTAGCACT